AGATTTGGCTCCCTGCGACTTCGTTCTATTCCCAAAACAAAAGAAACCAATGAAAATAAAACATCTTGGCAGCTGTTAAATCGGTCGCCATTTTGAACAGTAATGCCAACTTAAAGTTCTATGCCTCGAAAAAGACACCCTATATAAGTATGGTATCGATTTTATCTATTTGGGGCAATACAACATGCTATTAACAGAATCAAATGATCACTGAATTTCAATAAGGTACCTCTTATATTATCACCAACATATATGTATGGAGTAAAAGCAACCGGATATTTGAAAATTCTGTGATTAGTTATATAGGTGCTAAGGCAAGTTTTCACACGATTTTACTCACTTTTGACACAAGAATGCACCACTATAAGAAAAATATATCCTCTTAATTTCATTAAGATAGCTCAAATATTGGCCAATATACGCGATATTAAGTAAACCGGAAGTTCGAAATCCCATAGATCGATCGTTATTTCCGGCATCAGTCACTGGGGTCCCTATAATCGGTAACTGTTATAGCCCGATTTTTACATTTTTTAGACCTGAGATAGTATACATCAAAGGCACTATTTGTGCAAACTTACGTCACGATATATGTATTCTTCGGTACTTGATTTGTATACTGGAAAGTGTAAGAATCATATGGAATTTAAAACCTATAAAACCCATTGTACCAATGACACTCGTGATGTTTTGCTTCAAGACCTGAATAGAAGCGGGATTGTCCACATATACTTTAGACTGTACATATCCCCACAGGAAAAAGTCGCAGTGTGATATCACTTCATCTTGGTGGCAAAAAACGTGAAATTATATGCTCACCGAAGGGTTCTCTCAATTAATCCATTGATTGATGCGATGTGTGGAAAGTGGCACAGCTTGTTGAAACCAAATGTCGCTGAGACCACGAGCTTCAGTTTCAGGTATCAAATAATCGGTAATCATGGTGTGATAACGGTAGTCACGGTTACGTTCTCATCGGCTTCATTTTTGAAGAAATTTGGACCGATGATTCCACCGGCCCACAAACCACACCAAACACTATTTTTTTCTGAATGAAATATCAGCTCTTGAATCTCTTCAGGTTGCTCTGCGTCCCTAATCCGGCAATTTTGTTTGATTACATACTCATTGAGCCAGTAATGGGCCTCATCGCTGAACAAAATTTGGCTCGAAAACGTCGGATTTTCTTGATACTTTTCAAGAGCGAAGCGATGTCGCTTGGGAAGGTCGAACGGCTTTAGTTCTTGTCCATACTTCAGTCCGAGTTGCTGCGAACGGTACCGAATCGACTCTCCACGGTCTTCGTGCACTCTCAGCTACAGTCGCTATCTTTTCTTCTGCGTGCTGGATACAGACCACATGCGAATAGCGTTACGAATAGCACGCTCAAACAATACTGAACCAAAATAACATGACAGCTTGACACGACTCACGCGTGATCTCTCAAGAAAGGTCTATTGAAAAAAAGCTCCTCTACTTGGCTCATCCGTTATAGCCCTATATCTATCTCGACTAGTTTTAGGTGATGCATACAACCATTATTTGAACAAAAGTATTATGTAGCAACATGTTGCAGAAGTATATATGATATATACATACATCCGATTGCATTACATGACACATTTCTTTGTAATTTGCAAACACATACTGTCGTACACAACGAGCGATGCAAGCGACAATATCTCCCGTGCTCTTCCCTCTTTTTTGCGTAAAAAGCTAACATATTTTATTAGTAAAAGTTCCTTCCCATATATATTTGCTTATGTAATCAGAATACATTAAGTAAAACCCATCCGCAAAACAAAAAAAAAAAGTTTGTTGACCTGTGTGCCAACAAAGAGCTAAATTATGTCATAACTAAATATTTATGAGGTATGCATAATACGAGGTTGAGAGCAATTTTATTCAAACTCAGTTTTAAACCTCACTTTGTTTAAGAAAAACATTAAAGCAAAAAGGTATAAAGTTAGCTGAAATTCTTTATATACACTTTCTTCATTACTAAATTTTCTCAAGAACATATTTCCACTAAATTTCGGAAAGATAACACACATATTGAACGATATAATCGGCATAAAATCCGTTGGAATAACGCCAATTCTTGTGTCGTAAACTTGCAGTATAAAGAAAAAAAAAAACAATATACACAACATAAAAACTACTTATATCAAAATAATATATGAATTTTGGTCTGACGGCAGAAGCTCAAAATTTCGTACATATGTATATGTTATATGATGAAGTGAATTGTAATCAATGAAAAATTTATTTTCATGTTTTTGATGATAAATTGTTTTGAATTTTAGTTGACGATATGTGGAGTATGGGAGCTGGAGTAATTCGTGGACTTATTTCAGATATTTTCGGCATTAATCTATAGTATATCCTATAGTATACATTTCCTTAATTTTCTTGTGATAATCTTATATAAGGTACATTAGGGCTAGCGTTAGTATTGACCCGAACTTTGGCACAAGGATGCCCTGTTATGAAAAAGTCACACTCTCTGAATTACATTAAGATAACTTACGAGTACATATTAACTCATATATATATAGGTAAAGTAAGAAGTTCGTTCGGTTTTTTATTGACTTTTCAAAAGATTATAACTTTGTGTACATTTGTCCGATTTAAGTCAAATATGCGCCGTTTTGTTCGTAAATGTTATTGCCAACGAGATGCCAACTACATTATACCCCTTTCGTAGAAGGCTGCGTCCCTATTGGCAAAAAAAACTCGGAGAGCCAATTTTCACACGCCATTCTTGAGGTCAACTTCTCACCATTAAGCGCGTTCGCCATGGACAGGAAAAGATGGTAATCACTTGGTGCCAGGTCCGGACTATAAGGTGGGTGCATTAGGACCTCCCATCCGAGCTTCTACCGCGTCACCAAAGACGTGTGTGGCCTGGCGTTGTCCTGATGGCCTCTTCTGGATGAGTGCTGCCTTCAAGCGGTCCAGTTGTTAGCAGTAGAGGGCCGAATTGAGCGTTAGGCCATAGCGGAGCAGCTCGTGGTAGATGATTCTTTGTCAATCCCTCCAAACACACAGCAAAACCTTCCTGGCCGTCAATCCGGTCTTGGCCAACGTCTGGGCCGCTTCCCCGAGCTTTGACCACGACCGTTTGCGCTCGATGTTGTCGTAAGTGACCCATTTTTCATCGCCAGTCACAATCCGCTTCAGAAACGGGTCGATTTTGTTGCGATTCAGCAGCGATTCGCAGATGGAAATTTGGTCTATCATATTTTTTTGCGTTAGTTCGTGTGGCACCCAAACATCGAGCATCTTTTTGAATCCAAGGTTATGCAAATGGTTCCAAACGGTTTTTTGGCTTATCTTTAGTTCCTCAGCAATTAAATAAGTGCTCACGTGATGGTCTGTTTCCACTAATTCCATGATTTTATCGCAATTTTCGACGACAGGCATCCCGACACGTGGTGCATCTTTGACATCGAAATTACCGGAACGAAACCTAGCAAATCACTTTTGTGCTACACGTTCGTTTACAGTATCGGGCGCATAAACTAAATTAATGGTTTCAGCCGCTTTGGCTGTTTTTCGCTTTGATCGAAGAAAAATTGTAAAATATAGCGAATTTTCTCTTTGTTGGTGTCCATCTTTGACGAGCGCTCACAACGTTCTGAGTAAATCAATCGAAAAACTGTCAAAGACAAACTGTTAGCGCGAATAAACACGTTTCCAGCGTCGTATAGTATGACATGATGCGACACGTAACACTAGTACTATGGACAATAATGCTATCTCTTAGATAAAAACCGAACGAACTTTTTACTTGACTTAATATAATATATAAATATATATGCAATATAAAATCAACCGGAAATTCGAAAAATTTGGTATTAAGTATATGGGGCGATTTTGGCCGTTTTTGACTCAAAAGTATGTTGTTAAAATATAAAGATTCTCTACGAATTTCCATACCAGTTTTTACGACGAATGACCAATTTTTTCGGTAAAAAGTTTTATGCCATAGGGATGTGGACCCTTAATTCGGTATTTAAGGATTGAAAAGTTATGGTCTAATTTCACCAATTTTTAACCTTGAGTTAAGATATCTTTAAGAAACTTTTAGGGAAAATTTTTATGTACTGTTAAAAGGAAGAATCAGTTAGAATTAAAAAAATTTAAATATGAGAAGTAGGCATGCTCGTAGTACGATTTCGCCCATATTGACATTGTAGCATAAGAACGTTAGGATAAGATAATGCATACAATTTGAAATATTGTTATATCATATAGCATATAAAATTTAATTGTTTTGACGATTTTGTTTAGTGAGTTATCGCACATCTAGTAGTTTTCAACATAATCGTTATATGGGGAGTGGGTGTGTTTACTATGAGATTTCAACTATGTTCATACTGTCGGGGGAGCTGCCTTAAAAATTTATCTAGGGGAAATGTTTGATATATGCTACATAGTTTTTGTGCTTTTTGAGATGTGTACCTTAAACTTATTAGAAGGCGGGGGCGGGGCCACTCCTACTTTTTCAAAATTCTCAATCGTATATGTCCCTCCTGCAGTTCGCTGTACCGGTTAACAATTTTGTATTTGATTTTCGCAAAGTTGCAGCGTGGACGCAAAATGGTGAATGAGAGGGGACCCGATAGATTAACAGTTACCGTAATTAAAATTGTCAGAGTATATAAAGTTCACCTGCCCTCGATCTAAGCACTTCCTTACTTGATTTCAATTGTAATTTGTATGTATGCATATGCCACATAGTATATCCAGAGAAATGTGGAAATCAAATAATTATGGTTTTCGCAACTGGATATTAGCATTAAGTACATAGTACGTAAGTTCATATATTTACTGCAGTCATATAATTTGCTGTTTGCTTTGATATATACTGATTTCTTTAATCACATATATGAATTCATTTGTTCAGCTTATATTATTTATAAGTTCAGTAACCTTGATGACATGTATTAATAGGTAAATGTAAAAATTTTGAATAAATACGGGAAATAATAATTTCTGCCACTAGTCTATCACAAATTACGAAACTCAAAGCTTTGCACACCTCTGCCTTCGAGGCAATGTACAACACAGAAGAGTTTGTAGAATTGAAAAAGTACAATCGCTTCAAAATAAGAGAGCTTAAAGCGGTATCATATATTTTAGGCATAAACTATGGCTCGGAAACGTCATTAAAAAAATTTCTTCGAGTGTGAGTTAAAAAATATTTGCATGAGTACTTGTTCTACAAATTTATTATGTTGAAGTATTTGACTCTATATAAATCTTTTAATGATTTAATAATACTTATTATAAAATAAAATAGAGAGACAATTATACAAAATCCGAGATTCTTCTTTAGGCTAAATCTACTGCTTATCATCATATGTGGCATTTCGTTGTATCCACGATGGTTGATGCTAGAAAGGGCTGATGGTGATGTGCCGCTAATTGCAGAGGTACGTAAACTTAAATACTTAATTTTCTTTATTTTCTTCATAATGAGCTACAAAATATTTATATTGTCTTTATTGGGTAGTATTTATCATAATACAATACAATCTTGCAAAAAAAATTAACAAATTATACACAAAAAGTTATGAGACAGACAGTTCTTGTTCTCGCTGATAGCGGATACCTACACTGAACTAGCCGATCGTTTCACTCATAAATTGAGCCTGATCTATTCTGTAGAACTAGAATTTATACCGCTTCCTACAAATCCTTAAGCCTGAGCTATCACATTTTTACAACATAATCGTTATAAAATCATAAATAAATCATCCGATTTCTACACCCTCGCACAGTATAGCTACTGCTAAAAAACTGATTACTAGCGTGATTAGCTAATGTAGCTTTATTGGTATGCGAAATACATATGTATATCAGACAATACAGGGGCAGGGTCACACCCACTTTGTAACAAATTTAAAACAAAGATGTCCCTCCCCATTGGAATTCCGTGAACCGAGTTACAGTTTCGTATTTTCATTTCTAACATTCGTTTTTGATACGGCATTTCATTAGCGTGGCAATGAACACGTGTCCCAATTATCCTCACAATATCCCTTATTATATTCTCGCAACATGTTGCTATAGAGTAAAATAGTTTTGTTCACGGTTGTTAATATTATATACATATAATCGAGATAGATATACTTGTAGAGTTATGTATATATAATATAAATGATCAGGATGAAGAGACCAGTGGAAATTCGGCATGTTTGTCTGTCCGTCCGTGCAAGCTTTAACTTCTGTAAAGATTAAGATATCTTGATGAAACTTGGTACATCCTTGGCAATGTAACAAGGTTGATACTGTACAAAGAAGCATTACAAGACTGTTGATTAGTAAAAATGATTCACAATACGAAGGGACATAGGTATATGTGATTTTAAAAATTATGAAAAAATGGGCTTGACCCCGCCCTCTAATAAATTTAGTGTACATGCTGCGAACATTTTATCGAAAATATCAGTCAATCTTTGAGATATATTATTCAAATTCGGGACAAGTTCTGTCCTGATAACAGTTTGCCAGTATGTCAAAAAAGTTTTTGAATCGAATGAATACTTCCCTTAGCCTCCAGATACCTAATATAATATAAAGATTTTCGAGCTTCCACATAGCTTTATACCGAATATTTCGATCAATATGTGAGTTATCTTAATGAAATTAGAGAACGAATTTCTACAACATCAGTATATCTTTGTACATAAAATGAATGATATCAAGATTTCCGAACATTTAGATCAACTTACTACTTATAAATTGGTGTTGGTATGTAAGGTGAGGTTAATGCAACTTAGGGAGCATTTTATTCTGCTAATAATATGTGGTATTGCTAAAAATAGAGAAAATGCGGTCAATGCTACCCCTATCTTCCATAATACCTAATGCAAGGGTTTTCGAACTTCCTGTTGACTTTATACCGTATATACCAGTCAATATTTAAGATATCTCATAAAAATAAACTGAACATTTTACGTTATATATAGTATAGCTTAATTTCCAAAATATGTGCATTTAGTCTACGAATTACCCCAACTTCTATATACTACATACCAGTATAATGATTGTATTGTATTATATTTTACTCTAACAAACCTTAAACCGAATATATCGCTCAGTGTGTGAGTTATATACATATTTATAAAATTGCTTGAGAATATGTTCTCAAATATACGTGGGCAATGTCAAAGGTTAATATACGCTTAGTATGAATGAAATTACTCTAGCCCTGGGTCTTAACCTCATATCCCTAATGTAATGAATTTCTATCTTCTGGTTGACCTTTTCCTCATTAAATTAATATTTTAAATTTAGCCTCTTGGGTTATGTTTACATAACCCATTTAATATTATATAATTTTCGTTGAGGTGAAATAAAATATACTTACAGTGAGTTTAGTTTCTTTTGACCTTCATAAATTCGAATAATTAATGTTAAATTATTTCACAAAATTTTTTTGCATTTAGTTTTTCTCCGGCTTTAATCCTTACAGGTGGAGAGAGTATTCATATATATTCAATTCCACCACAATTTGGCCCATTCTTACGTGTTTAAGTTAATATTTGAGACGCGATTTTAATACTTTGAACCGAATAACAATTCTTTTTTGCTTCTATTCTTTTCTAAAGTCGACAGGTAGTTACTTCCAGATTTTTGCGCCTCAACTATTCATCCATTTTAATAACTCTCTTTGCAAATGGAATTACTTTGCAGACCATCACCACAATATTGCAAACAACTACAAGCATGGTTAAAATGACCTTCTGTCTGTTTATGCAAGGCCAGTGTTGTGCATTACTTAAGAAGGCTGAAAACTATGAGCTGCTTCAAGGAATGAAGATCTTCTCGACTGGTAAGTAAAATATTATCAATAGGAACCCTTTTTTCAACTTAAGCTTAAACTTACAGATATGTGCATTAAAACTGAGTTGAAAAATGAGATAAACTCGATTATGGAAACTATATGGATGGAATCAAGGCGACAACTTTTAAGCTGTCTCATAACTTGTTCGTGCATTCTTAGTAACTATTTTCTCTACGCCTTCTTCACAAACTTGTACCACCAAATAAAGAAGACGCCGAACTATGTACATATATTACGTAAGTGTCCTTGAATACGCATATACGAGCATATATATATATATAGGTATATACATATAAATGTACCCATTTCTTTTGCTGGGTCGTTTGCCTTACGCACATAAAGAAGGAACAATTTCCGGTATAACTGAATTTTTTATACTCTCGCAATTTAGAAGAAAAGAATTGGTTATTCAACGAAATCATAATCGGATTACAATCATGCTTGGCATCATATTAACTTATACAATATATAATTTTATCTACTGATTTTGCAACATGTCCGAGATATTTCTATTAAAATCGATATAACTATTTTATCAATTAATGCTATGGGAAAGTGCAATCACAATAAATTTATTACCGACTGACAATACTGTACGAAATAATTTTGTTGAGACATCTACCATTGAGATATGTATAAACGATACTCAACCAGAGGCGTGAGTTTTAATATATTGGGTCCAGAGTTGCAAATGATGCATTAAAAAAATAATTGAATTAACATTGGAATTAAATTTTTTTTATTTTGTAATCCCAAATACAGGCTTAAAAAATAATAAAAAAAATTGTTAATCCCACATACCCGATTATAAAATAAAAATAAATTTTAATCGTAAGAACCGGATTAAAATTTCTTTTTTAATTTTTAATTTGATTGAAAAAAAAAAATAAAAATTTTAATCCCAATCATATAATTAAGATTTAAAATAAGAATTTGTTTCAGAATTATCCAATCCAAACATCTTTGATTGAAAAAAGAAAATCTAATTTTTAATCTCAATATTGGGAATTAAATTTTTAAGCCAAAATTTTTTAATTATCAAATGCGCAACCCAGATTGGGTATGCGAGGAAATATGCAAACAGAGGGTTAAATATTTAAGACTAGGCATCGGCCATCTGACCGATAAATATATGGTATATCGTTACAGGGTGGCTGACGAATCGTGCTACAATCGTACAATCGTTTGTGTACAAACACAAACCGTAATAACTTTTTTTTAAATCAATACATAATATTTTTTTTATTGTATAGAAAATTTTATTTAATTTTATATAATTAATTATTTTTAAAAATTATGAACCACAAATGACCTCCATGCCGAGCCACGCATATGCGACACCTAATTAGAAAATTATTCATTGCGGCCTGAAGGGTTGAAGTTGGACTGCCTCAATTATCGATTTAATTGACTGCTTCAATTCATTCAGATTTCTGGGTTTTGTTTTGTAAACCTCTTGCTTAAATGAAAGTCTGCTGTAGTCAGGTCCGGTGACCTTGGGGGCCAGCGTAAAGTTGAGTTTCTTTATATAATTTTTTTTTTCAAATTTTCGTTGGAGCTCCGCAATAACCGATCACAAACGCAGTTCTGGGTAAAATAACTCATTCAACATCTTTAAATAACGATACCCATTGACAGTTACTGTTCACCATTTTCTTCAAAGAAGTATGGCCAGACAATACACCTTGACGAAACTGCGCACCACGCAGTGACTCGTTCTGGGTGAAGTTCTGTCTGTTGTTTTTTTTTGGATTTGATTCACTCCATATAAGGCAATTTTCCTTGTTTACATTTCCGTTTAGATCAAAATGAGCCTCATCAGGCATAAATAGGCAATTTATCAAGTTATTATCTTCTTCGGCCATTTCAATAATTTTTCGGCAAAATTCCTGGCGAAAAGGCAAATCTAGAGGGTTTAACCGGCTTGTTATTGGAACTTTGTACGGAAACAGGCTTAAGTCATTATGAATCATCCGTTGTACTGAGCGTCAGCTAAGTGGAAGTTGCGCCGATAAGTTACGACTCGAAACTCTTGGATTTGCCTAAATTGGTGATGCAACACCCGCGATTGTTTCTTAAACACGAATATACGGATCTAAATGGTACGGTCTTCTTGTGATACTTCTAGATTCGGCAAAAATGCTTACAAATCTCATAATGGTTCATCTACTCAGGGTGTGCCGCCAAATACCGTCTGAATTTCCTTTGGACGGACCGCAAAGCATGGTACTGCTGCAATATACAAACCCTCTTTTCGGTATCCCAAGCATTCATTTAAAAAACTTAAATAATAACCTGCGAAATAAAAAAAAGTAAGTCGATTATTCACACAGAAAAAAATTTATTACGATTAGTTTTGTTTTGTTTGTTTGTTTGTTTCTGTATAAGATACTTGAGGACTAGGGGAAGTATTGAACCGATTTTACTTTACTCCGCAACTGAGGTGCTTTTATTCGGTGTCTAAAGGCTTGAAAATTTATAGTCTGATTTCGAGAGTCCTTAAATTATATTAGCAGCAGTAGTTTCAGTGGAGCATAGTGGTATCAGATGGAATTTAAAATTAAATCAGATGTGGAGCATGCGTGGTGGCTGTGCGATTTCAAATTGTAACTTAGGGATGGTAGGATATCGTTATGCACCAAATTATAATGAAATTGGTCGAATATGTATGCCCATTGTCCAAATTTTATAGTCTCGCAACATGTTGCTATAGAGTATAATAGTTTTGTTCACCTAATGGTTCATTGTATCACCTAAAATTAATCGAAATATTAAGTTATATATTTTTATAAATGATCAGGATGACAAGACGAGTTGAATCGTGTAAACGATACTTCAGTAAAACCTGCTACATATGTCCCTTAGCACTAAGGGGAAGCTGATATTATGTTGTATGGACGGTATCGGACTATTGTCATGCCCACAAAAGGCAAAGAAACTTTGATTTTCTAATACTCTGTTCCGATATCGAGCTACAACCACGCCTACTTCCCAAACATCACAATTTTTAATTACATATTCTTTCTGTCAGTTTACAGTATATAAGTCGAGAGCTAACCACGTTATTGAAATAAAATTTTACATCCAAAATGATTTTAAGATGTTCAATCTCTTAGTCAAAAATAGTGGAAATGAAACCTTAACTTTTTAAGACCTCAGCTACCGGAAAAGTAGATGACAGTGCCTATGGTTAACTTTTTACCGGAAATATCTGTAAGTCAGTGAGCATTTTCAATACTTCCACTAGTACATATACCTAACAGAAAGATTTTCGAATTTTCTGTTGACTTTATACTGTATATACCTTTTGAAACGTGGAATATCTTAAAGAAATTAAGAAAGTGTCTCGCTCTTGTACCTAAAATGGATGAAATCGAGTTGATTATAATCCTAGTCCTCATGTATAACACGTGGGCTGAAAACAACCGGTCCTGACACAGTTCTTTTAGTTGGTACTAACCTTCAAAATACAGCTGTTAAATTTCATGACCTTCTATTTATTAGCTTGCGAGTTATTGTGCTAAGAGTGACGCTAATTTTGTTATTTCAAAAACAATGGGAAAAAATACCGTTTAAGCGCAGCAATGGCTTGAAAAGTATTATGGGGATTCAGCACCATCAGAACCCACAATAAAACGTTGGTTTGCTGATTTTAAACGTGGCCGTAGAGACACCAATGATCCAAAACACAGTTAAAACAAGTAAGGAAGGGCTAAGTTCGGATGTAACCGAACATTTTATACTCTCGCAAAGTCAAATGGTATACTCGTTTGAGATTTCTTTGTGGATTGACTGATATTTTCGGTAGAAGGTCAACTATAGGCACTGGGGTCCACATATTTAGTACTTAGAGGTTTGAACAGTTTTGGTTCGATTTAGACAATTTTTGGCCGCAAGGTGGCATACTTTAATTGCATTATTCACGTAAAGTTTTACCCCGATATAATCATTGTTACCTGATTTGCATAGTGAAAGTGAAAGAATCAGATGGAATTGAAAATGGTGTTACATGGGAAGTAAGCGTGGTTGTAGTCCGATTTCGCTCAAAAGAACGTTATGCACCGAATTTGGTTGAAATCGGTTGAGCAGATCTCAAGATATGGGTATTCATCTAAAAGTGGGCTGTGCCACGCCCACTGTCTAATTTTGAACGCGGTTCCTATAAAGTCATCTCATACCATCCCAGAGATAAAATTTAATGACTCTGGCGTGTTTAGTGCTTGATTTATCGCGCTTTTAGTAGTTTTTAACAGTACCGTTATATGGGGAGTGGGCGGAGTTGCCACCCGATTTCAACTATTTTTACACCGTCAATAGAAGTGCTAAAGGCATTTCCTTCTAGTGAATTTCGTTATTATAGCGTTAGCGGTTTAGGAGATATTCACATTAAACCTATTAGACGCGGGAACACGCCCACTTTTTTAAAAAAAGTTTTAACTGCAGATGCCCCTCCCTAATGTGATCCTGTGTACCAAATAACAGTCTTGTATCTTATTGCGGAGCTTAGTTATGGCAAGTTATTTGTTTTTGATTAATGGCGTTTTGTGGGCGTGACAGTGATCTGATTACGCCCATCTGCAATACCAACCGTCTCACGGTACCAAGAAACATGTCTACCAAGTTTCATAAAGATATCTCAATTTTTACTCAAGTTAGAGCTTGCACGGACGGACGGACGGACGGACGGACAGACAGTCACCCGGATTTCAACTCGTCTCTTCATCCTGATCATTTATATATATAACCCTATATCTAACTCGATTAGTTTTAGGTGATACAAACAACCGTTAGGTGAACAAAACTATTATACTCTGTAGCAACAGGTTGCGAGAGTATAAAAATCCACAAAATCGTTTTGAATAATCGGAAAGTGAAGTTGCGTGATTTAGCTGACATGGTAAGGATTTCAAAAGAACGCGTTGGCTTTATATTGCTTGAGTATTTGTCCATAAAAGAGCTCTGTTCAAAGTGAGTGCCGCGTTTGCCGACTGTTGGCCAAAGCAACGTGTTGATGTTTCTGAGCAGTGTTTGGCCATGTTTTACGTAACAACCCGGCATTTTTTTTGCTCCTAGCGACTATCAGACCTTAAAATTTTTTTTTTAATTCCGCTAGAATGATCATGTTATGTGGTTTAGTGCTGAAAATAAATGAAATTGGTTTATATCTCTGGTTGATGTTTTCCTCATATACCCCACATAGTTTGATTTTAATATAAATATTTCGGACAAGGAAAATATAGTAATGAAACTAAATGAGTACAATAATATAAATGAATAAGATGCAAAATTTTATTGCAATCTATGCGGTTTCGTTAATTTAAAGTTTGGCAACTCTTGAAAGTAGATCCCCGGTTTTGATCTTCAAAAATTCCGAGAATATAAAATGTTCGGTAACACCCGAACTTAGTTTTTGTCTAATTGTTATATATGATTTTTATTAATACAAACCCTTTCCTTATCATCTTATCGAGTGAAATCGTGAATGAATTACAATCCAATTTGGTATCTTCTTGACTTATATTAAGGGCATTATCTTAGACTCAGTTTTAGTTAGTGTCAGCTAAAATTATATTAAAAACACTTTCAAATGAGATATACATATGTAGTGATAATAACTAACTAATAGAAGACACAAAATTTTATTTATGTATTTAGATTATGTGAAAAACGTCAACCAGTGGATCGAAATTTATTAGATTAAGGATATAACATTTTAACCAAGGTATGACCAATTCACACATAATTTTTAAGAAAACTTGTCCATTTAATTCCATTAAAATTGTACAAATTTTGATCAACCTAAACGGTTAAAAGACAGGTGGAAAAACGAAAATTATTTTATGGGGGGGATAAAGAAAGGGACGGGCTGATTGCATTAATTTAAACATTGCTTAGGTATACTCGAGAACATATTTTAAAGCAATTTTGTATATAAATAATACTCACTGACCGATATATTCGTAATAAAACTCGTCAGAATAATGAAAATAATTATAAATAGTATATGGGAGGTAGTATTCTGGGTCTCATTAACGTTAAGAGTTTTGGTTTGGTTTTGACAATTTTAGGTAATCAAGGTTACAAGTATTATTCGTGAGTAGTTTCCCGATAAATGCATTGTTGCTTTATTTGTATACTGGAATGTGAAATAATTAGATGTAATTTAAAATTGTGTTATATGGGAAGTAGGCGGGGTTGTAGTCCAATTTCGCCCATTTTCGCAATGTTGTTAGTCGAAATTAATGGAGTAGGTTCGGAGACATGTGATTTCACCTAAATGTGGGCGGTGCCACCGCCTTCTTGTGTCATCCTGGATAAAATATTTACTGCCTCTGACCCATACCGTTATTGATTTATCCAACTTTTACTAATTTTGAACAAATCGTTATATAGGTGGTGGGCGTGGTTATCGTATGATTTGACCCGACGCTTGCGCAAGAGATGTCAAAATGAATTATCCTGTGCAAATTTGGGTGACCTAGCTTGAATGGTTTGGAAGATATATACATTAAAGCTATTTGGAGGCGCGGGCAAGCCCACTTATAGCACCCACTATAGCATATAAATTGAAATTGTAACTGAACGATCGGAATAAAATGCTTGCATGGAACACTTTTTTATTTGACGAAGTATCTTCACGAAATTAGGCTCGAGTTATTGTTTAAGGCAATAATGTATTCTCCGCAGTAATTATTCAGATCAGATGACTATATCATATAGCTGCCATACAAATTGAGCGATCGGAATCAAGTTCTTGTAAGGAGCCTTTGTAATTGTTAAGGGTGTTATAGCTTTGATGCAACTGAAGTTAACGTTTTTTCTTGTTTTTTTTTTTTTTGGTTTTTTTGTCAGTGCCTATCAAACTGTTGATTGTTTTGTCAGTACTATTCAGTTTCAGCCACTGAAAGAAGGCACAGATGAAGTCAATAAAAGCGTCATACAAAAAGAACCAATTTTGACCAAATTTGAGTGTTTATGTGATTTTAACATCATATCGTTCTTCTTGGTAGACCCTTTATAATTAATTGTAAAAAATACAAATTTCATGTACAAAATACTTATATTAAATTTTTCATGCTTTATATCTATGGCAATTCGATCATTTCTCGCTGTCTACTATTACACCGGTCAACAGCAGTCCATAAACATTTTACATATAAATAATTCATTAAAGGCTAATAATCATCCATTTAGGATTCATTCTTACAGTAGACATTTTAAAATAGATCCCAAAGGTTTAAAAATGAACAGTTTTACTGTCTGTTTCGTAGAAGTTTATTTTATTAACCTCCATCATAATTTTAGCATACTGGCCTTGGTAACGTCTCTCAATTTCAATTACCTCTTGATGAAAGCGTTGTTTCCAAGAAAATCATGCACTATGCCTTTAACTTTGGAAAAATATCACAATGGTTCCCTTCAAAATCTCGGTACTGCGAACTGCATTGCTCTTTTTTCCACCGCCTTTTACCCGCCTACAATATTGTAAAACTTAGCATATTATCATCTAATCAGGGTTATCAAATTAGTTGATAAGTATTATAAAAAAATAGGAAATAAACTCAACATCCAGAGTATTGCTGTATAAGTTACATGGCACATGTGGAGCCCATTTCTGTTCTGATTTTTAGAGGTAGATTCAAGTAAGCCCTAAATGCTTCGCAAATCCTTAAATTTTTACTTTAATTATACTTGTTCTCTCTCATTTTAATAAATTCGCCGCAAATATTGCAAATCGAGTCAGCATATCGTTTACAACTTCTCGAAGACATTTTGTACTGGTTGGAACAGGAAATAAAGTTAAGAAACACATTATGCCTCTGCGATTTGCAAACACATATACCCGTACACGCCGAGAGATGCAATCGACACTAGCTCCTGTGCTCTTCCCTCTCTGTTGTGTAAAAATGGTAAAACTGCTCTAATTACTTAAAAAGCAAATATTTTCGATTTGTAATCTTTTTTCCATATACTACTATTTATTTACTTATATTTATTACCAGAATATATTAAGTAAAACCCATGCGCAAAACAAAAAAAAATGTTGAGCTGTGTTATACCTAAAATTCAATAGTAACATACAATTACTATACTCATTCGATATTAAACCATAGCTTTTACCGGTTTCCCAATGTTTCTGGATAAGGGCATGACCTCGCCTTATTATGCCGTGGAAATGTTCATCGGCGGATCTTCACTACTCACGTGTGGCATGTGTGAGTGTACAATTATTTATTTGTATTGAACGAAAACCTTAGGTTTAAATAACATTTTCAGGTTCAGTCAGCTTTCATTGCATTTTTATGATCCTTTGCAAACATGCTTGTGGACTAGTTAAGGTACTCTGCGCCATTCTGTTGCAATCCACCTCACCCCATGTTCCAGCTCATCGGCGTGATGAATATTTGCGTTACTGCGTGATCCAACATCAAGAGACTCTGCGGTAAATTAAGGATACACTTTAAAGATATAAACTGAGTCTATTTTATTTAGACATCATAAAAAATTAAGTAATAGAAATTAAAAAAGATATAGAAATTTAAAAAAAATATCAACGCACTATCATTTAGAGATGTAATTTTTAATCATCTAAAGCTCAAAATACATGTAGTTCAAGCTGATTCTATTTCAGGAGAATACTGATTACTTCCAAAAAGAACTTGTTAATAACTCTTTCTATAAAAAATACTTTGATAAGTAATATTCTTTGTTTTCAGGTTTATAAATGACATCAATGAGCTTTTTAAACACATCACTCTTTCACATTTCCTTCATAGCTTGGCTATATATGGACTTGTGCTTTTCGAAATGAACTTTGGATTAGTGAGTATTATCGAAAATAATTTGTCTAATTGTAAGTGCGTTTACATTCGGGCTAGGGGTAGTATTGTTCAGATTTTTCCATTTTTGGCATATCGTTGAAGATAAATATGAAGATTTACATGTATTTTATGTTAAATGTCAGTTATAGTCTACATATTCTTTATCGGGGAGCTTGATAAGTTACCGTCCGATTTCGACCGTTTTTTGACGTAAGATGCCATGCCCTCTGGGTGCTCTTTGTGGAAAGTTTTATACTGTAAAAAAAAGAGTCATATGGAATTTAAAATCTCGAATGAAAATTTAATGTTCCTCACACATTTATTTATTGAGTTATCGCACTTTTAGTATGTACAGTAAACCAATTAGGTTTATGTTACAAACAACCGTTATTCTCTACTCTCTACACAGCTTTGCTTTGTGGACGCGAAAATTGTTTATTTTAAGGCAAGATTAATGAATATATTATAGTATAATATAATTTTAGGAAACAAATAAAACAACATTTGTTCGTATGATTATGTATATCGGAGCTGCCCTCACCGTGGATTCCATGTATTACGTAAATGGCCAATTTTTAGTTACAGAGGTATGTATGTCTAATTGTGATTTATCCCTAAATTGTATGAATTTTTATGAAGGCTTTTATAAAGAGTCGGAACCATATTACTATTTAATGCTTATTTCTCTAAATTTATTATATGATGGAGTTGGTTGGCAGTTGTATATTTAAAACGGATGGAAGGTGGTTTTTATTCGGTTAGCACCTCTAACTCGATACTTTGTATAATATTTTCTCAACAAATTAATTCCAATAAATACAGTACTTGAGATAGCCGAGAAAACAGAACTAAATTATGCCAGGGAAATGGCATTTTAAACTTAAATAATATTGAACAATAATCTGTATGACTTGTATAATAAAATCCAACTAAAAGCCAACGTTTTTGTCACAAAAATCACTAAAGACAAGCCCTTTTATGTTAAGGGATAATGTTCAAATGTTATGGTGATTCTTCAAGCTGAAACTATGTATCACCCTTTATTATTTTGTGACTCCCGATATTTATTTTATGAACCGTTTTGTCATACGGTCATATTGTTTCAAATGAGTTGTTGTTGTCGTCTCACACCAGTACTGTTACCCTAGCTCTAATTTGATTTATGGTACAGTCTCACATACATCAATGCAAGGAAAATGTGGGACTTTGAAAATTTTGATTGTGCAAAATAGTTGCAACACTAAAAGTTTTAATTATAATATATAAATATAACTACACATATACCTTCTGCTCAAATATAAACGAGACTGGCTCAAACAACAAAAACGGTTAATTATTCTTCAATATTTATTTTATCCCCTTCAAAATAGTCTCCATTAGAGGCGATACACATATGCCACCTTTTTTTCCAATCTTCCTAACACTTCTGGTAGGCCGCTTTAGGTATGGCTTTCAGTTCCTTCTTCGAATTCTCTTTTATGACTTCAATCGACTGAAAATGCTTTCCACGAAGCGGCAATTTGAGCCATATGCCTTCTGCAACATTTTCACTGCGTCCGTCGCACTTATTCCATTGGAATAACAAAATTTCTAACAAACACTTTTTGATCAACGTTAATTTCCATAGTAAAATTCGAAAAACACACTCGCGGTTGACTTGTTTATAGTGCTTTAAAAAAAAACTATGTGACAGATCGCGCTCAAATTTGACATGTAAACATATAACAGTCCTGCCAACCTAAGCAAAAAAAAGTATGGCCATATGTCATGTCCTTGTCGAGTTATGTATAAAGTCTCGTTTTGCGTTGAGCAGAAGGTATGTACCTATAGTAATCATATATTATATATGTACCTACAAGTATATCTTCGTATTTCCATATACATACTTTCAGTTGGAAAAAATTCCCTTAGTTTGCTACAGTTGCGATTGGTTTAATGAATCTGAAGGTTTCAAGAAAACACTGAACATGATCATTATGCGATCCAATAAAGATTTCTGTTTTCAAATATCCTGGTTCGGCGTAATGTCCTTGACCACATTAATGGGTGTAAGTATTCATTTAAAAATTTCACAAAAAAAAAAATCTCTCCCAAAAACTACAGAAACATGTAAGTGTTTATCGATTTGATCAGTTTTATCTCAGTTCATAATAAGCAATAAAACTTAACAAAAGTAATAACTTTTCATTATTTCTTTTCTTTTTTCTTCTTCCAGATATTAAAAGCCAGTTTTTCATATTTCTTGATTCTTCGAGATATAACGGATGAAATAAACTAAGATTGAAACAGTTATTAAAATATACGACCTAATGTTTTGAAACTTGGGGTATATAAATTATCCCTTTCGCTGCAGAGAAAAACAAGAATTAAAAAAAAAAACAAGAATTTGCTCTTGCTCCATTTCAGAAGGATAACAAACAAGTATGGAAGGGCTAAGTTTGGGTGTAACCGAACATTTCATACTCTTGGATCAAAGCCGGAGAAATACCTTCAGGCGTTGGCAAAACTTCATATTAAAAAATTTTGCGAATTAGTTTGATACTCATTATTCGACGAAATCGTTTTATAAGTTACATTATAAGTCATAGACTATGTTTCACTTCACGTCAGCAAAAATTTTATTAAAATTATCGTCAAATATATCAGATATATCTGACATAAACTTAACCGAAGAGGCTTATATAATATAAATAGTTGAGGTTCAAAACTTCAACTAGAATATCGGAATCGACGATATTAGCGATTTGAAGTTAAGACCAAGGTGTAGACTCACTCCATTCGTGTTCAGCGTTAAAGCGTTAATATCATATAATCAGGATTGTTAAAATAACGGAAATTATTAAATGTATTTTAGTATAATAAAATTTCACATATTATCTGCATTAAACTATAGTATATCCAATATTATATGTTCAGGTCATTTTGCTAAGATATTTTACCTTACATACTGACCGATATATATGGTATAAGGCCAACCGGAAGTTTGATAATCTTTTATTAGATATGGGAGATGAGTGTAATATTGACCCGATATTATCTATTCTTGGCATTACTGCATATGTATTATTTACAGAAACAGATGGCCTCTTAGTGTCATTTAGGAAAATCACATATCATCAACAATATACTCGTATAAGGGTAAAAATAACTCACATTTTTGACATGCATACATATTATTATCAGGAAAGGATTATGTTCTAACTTCAATTATATATCTCACACATTGACCAATATTTTCGGTATAATATCAGAAATGGGCTCTGCGGTCCACAATTTCGGTATCTGGGGGCTTGAATAGTTATGTTCCGAGTTTGTTAATTTTTAGACCTAAGATGGCATACCTTAAAGGCAATATTCATGCAAATTTGTATCCCAATATATTAATTGGTGCTGGATTTGTATACTGGAAATTAAAAAAATTAGATAGAATTTAAAGTTATGTTATATGGAAAGTAGGTGTGGTTGCGGTCCGATTTCCGTTTGAATTTTCGCACTGTAACATGAGAATTTTAAAATAATCTTATGTACTAAATTTTGATGAAATTGGTGGAATAGATCCGAAGATATGGGATTTTACCAAGCCATCGCCCAATTTTGAAACCTGCTCTTCAAACACCCTCTGCTGCCCAACCTGATTGTAAAATTGAATGTCTCTGTCGCTTTCAGTTATTGATTTATCGCACTTTTAATAGTTTATAAAAAAACCATTATATGGGGATTTGAGTTGATATCATCCGATTTCCCTTATTTTCACTCTGTCGCAAGCAGTGTCAAAAGGATTTGTCCTTGTGCCATATTTTTTGTATATCGGCAATGAAATAATTAATTTTTTTGCTTAAGTGTTTACATAGATGCAATAACTGAAAATGACACTGACAGGCTGTGTTTAGAAAACAAAAATAAACTGAAGGCGTCAGCTTAAAGTGACGGCAAAGACTGAAAACAGCTAAGAAGAAGAAGAAAGGTAGTACGAATTGGTCACGCATGAAAAATTATCTTGTTAATAGAAAATGCGAATGTATTACGAAATTGTTTGTTTAGTAGAATATGTTTAAAATTCAAATTATGTGGTTACTGTTTGATACATAACTAGTAACTAATGAACATTATTGCCCCATAATTTACAAGAACCCGACTTAAGTGGCATAATTGGACTGTTTTCGCGTTAAAGTGACAGACACAGTGGAAAGTGAAGCATAAATTGCGTTAAAAAATATACAAATTTCAAGTGACTTCTTTCTTTAAGAGACTTCTTTGGGTAATTCATAATATTTCTGGCTTTAATAACTCACTTTTGCTTCAATCTCGAATAACAAAAAAAACGGTGATTTTCAGTTTTTTGTGAAGTCTACAAGGGAACTGACAGCTAAACCTTCCAAGTTACGAGAGACACTATTAGAAATGGGTTCATTTACTTTTAAAACTGGCAAGATAAATATAGCCGAAGTGACAAGTATCACCTCAATGAAAACATCATCATTACCGACAGTTGACTCCACAGGACCACGAGTAAGATCATCGTCAGAAGGGTACACGAGATCTTGTTTGGACGCCATCGACAAGATTTTAATTACCTTCTCGAATACTTTATGGCATCAACGATCAATAAGAATGCATGTACAAGGTGCAATTCAAAAGTTTCAGACTTTTATTATAAAATGAATATTATTTGTTTTTTTGAAAAATGTATTGGTCGCCTTCAAAATAGTCTCCTTCCGCCTGAATACAACGTTTTGCACGTTCAAGAAGGTTATCGAATGAATTTTTTAGGTCATTTGTCGGTATAGCGTTGAGGATGGCGGTCGTCGCCTTTTGGATGGCATAAACATCAGCATAGCGGTTTCCTTTCATGGCCAAATGTAGTTTTCCGAACAAATAAAAATCGCAGGGTGCCATATCTGCCGAATAGGGTGAATGGTTGATGATATGAATGCGATTTTTGGTCAAAAAATCTGTCGTGAGTGTCGAACGTCTGAGGTCTTTTTCGTGTTGTTTCAAAGTGTGCGGGACAAATCGAACACAAACCTTTCTGAGGACCAAATTTTCTGTCAAAATACGATAAATCGACGCTGCGGATATTGATAATTCCGATTCCATATATTTAATCGATGATTTCGGCTCTTTTTTAATAAATTCACGCACTATTTCCGTGTTTTTTTCTTTCACAACATCTTTTGGCCGGCCCGAACGTTCGTCGTCTTCCAAGTCCTCCCGTCCCTCTTGAAAACGTTTAAACCACTCGTTAATACGGCTACGGGATAGACAATCATCGCCATAAACTTGTTTCATCATTTTATGAGTTTTGGTAAAAGTTTTACCAAGTTTAAAACAAAACTTAATGTTGGCTCTTTGTTCGATGCTCATTTTCCGACCGACACTACAAATGTAATGTCACATGTAGCGCGATATCTCAGCTGTTATATAAATTTTATACGACAACACTGAAGAATACACAATTGAGGGATAACAATTTCAGACAGATGGCGCCACTAGAAGCCACGTTGTTTAAAAAGTCCTGGAACTGTTGAATGGTACCTTGTAGATGTCACACGACAACACTGAGCTACCTTATGTCATACAACAAATTTACACACCGTCTGTTAACTATTTTTTTTAACGAAAAATTGTTTTTCCGATTGTTGAAAAAAACAATCAAGTAGACATAAATACAAAATTCACAACTAATGTGGCACAAATTCGAAGATATATTGGCTTCCTGATGTATATTTAAATTTTTCGATATCCGAATATAGTGGCACACTGGCTTTAAGTTTACTTACAAGCTCAAGGTGTAATTTCGTTAATTAACATTTGAGCAATCAGAATATCAAACTATAAATTACTTTCCGATTAGGATCCACAAGTTAAAAACGCAGATAGTTAGAGAAAACAACTGTTTTAAAGACTATTCATCGCATGAATAATATAAAAAATAACTTTTAATAAAATAAAACAAAATGTAACAAATCGCTGACTCGGCACCAAAAATTCGAAAATTAAAACTTTTTAATAATGCTCAAAACTGAAGAACATTTAATACTTAGCTAGCAACTTAGAGTTAAATCACTAAATATTGAATTAAATCACTAAAAAATCAATTAAAGTTTAAGAGTTTTGCAAAATTAAACACAATAGTTCACAGCAAAAAAATTAGAACCTTTAGCGGTCACCTTGGATCAACGGTGGAATTTATAGCAAGCACCCCGTTACCAATAACGGCCACACTACTGAAGGTGACATCAGGCTAAAGTCAACCACCTAACCATCATCTGGCAGCGTTTTGCATTATCAACATCTTCGACACCATATATACATAAATGATCAGGATGAAAGGACGAGTTAAAATCCGAGTGTCTATCTGTCCGTTCGTCCCACTCATTTGTTGGCATTCGAAGTGTACGGACGTGTTCGCGCATCGTTGAAACATTTTAGTGAATTTTCTGTTAACAGAAATTATAATAAAAATAGAATATAATTGCCTGGCGCGAGTTAGATCGAAGGCCAGAGAAAAAAAGAAAAAGGCATTACCGCGAGTAATTGCTTGTGAAAAATAGGCAGTGCGAGTGTAATAGTGACAATCCAAACAATAGGCAGTGTTATTGCCTGGTGCGAAGGCCAGTGACAATTTAAGCATTACCGCGAGTACTTGTAATTGCTTATGAACAATAGACAGTGTTATTGCCTGGTTTGAGTGTATAACGAAGGACAGTGTTGTTTACGAACAGTTCAGGCACCGGTTTTATGTGGACCGGACTTGAAGGCCACTGACAACATTGTTGTAGTGCAGGTACGCGTTCGTGAGTGCTATAAGTTAGGCCAATTAAGGGTGGTGGGGCGGTTATCCGCACTCCCTCTGTTTTAGAGAGGGAGAAAGTGGCGACGAACCGGAAGTTGGGGCCAAGGGTTGTGGTGCAAGGGGTGCACACAGAGATCTCTCATGATGAATTCATGGAAGAACTCTTTAATATTAATATCAGCCCCGAGGCAAAGAAATCCGATGTTAGGTTGGTCAGTCGCCCCTGGACGGTGGCGGCGGATGGTAAAACCAACGTCGTTTTGGAGGGTTCGGAGAAAGTAATGTCCACCCTCTTGTTGTGGATTCTGCACAATTGGGTGTGTGTGTGTGTTTCAATAGAGGGGGGGTTTGGTAGAATACTTGTTGCTAGTATTTATTGTAAATTTGGTGAGCCTCTAGAGCCCTATCTGAGTTACATGGAAAGGTACTGCTACTTGCGAGTGGTAGTCCTCTTATACTTGGCTTGGACGCGAATGCCACGTCTTCGATGTGGTTTAGTAAGGTATCCCGGCATACGTCTGGATATCAAAGCCACAGTCGGGGCAAAGCATTAGGTGAATGGGTGGTGGCTAAAAACCTCCACATTCTCAATGAGCCCAGTAAATGGTACACGTTTGATGGGCCTAGGGGCGTAAGTGACATCGACGTGACGTTTGTGAATCAGGCAGCAGATAGGGCGTTCATAACTAGATGGCAGGTTAAGTGAGGGTGAGGATTGAGTGATCATAATTTGATCCGGTATGAGAGTCTATTGCGGCGATGGCGTACCTCTGGTTTCGACTGGAACCAATATGGACAATCTGTCAGGGATGCGGTATTGAGCATACCGCTTAGAGTGTTTGAGGATTTGGGGGTTGACGAGCAGATTGTCCGTCTTTATGAGGTAGTTTGGGGGGTGAATGATAGGGTACTTAGAAAATGTGAAAGTTTTATGATTAGGAAAATAAAGTGGTGGACGCGTGAGTTTACCTCGAAGAGGAGGACTGTCAGGCGATTGAGGCAAAAGTTTCAACGCGCTAGTTAATTTATTTACTCATTAGGACTAAAATAAATATATAATTTTAAGTCAGCCAATGAGATTGGTTCTGACTGATCCTTTATTTGTATAATATTTCACCGTATTCACATGTGCTTCAATATTGAATATATTACACTGTACAAGTGTTACCAGTGGTAACTTGTTACTCGGCAGTCGATA